GCCATTGATTGCCGCAGTCAAAAAACCCTCAGGAAGCAACGCATGAAGTTCAACATGAAGTTTACGACCCAGCCGAAAAGCCGCAGCTTCACAAACATCCCAATCCTGATCAACCAGGAGTCGAGTAGGCTTGTTGGCCAAGGAAAGGCCAGCATGCCATCCTCCCAAGCCAGCAAACCACTCAAAGCTGGAGATCGCCCTCTCGCTGGAAATCACCTTTCCATTCTGGCTGGAGACACCGAAATTCTTGAGGACCGCTCTCCTTCCTGGCAGGAAATGGTCACGCCAAGGAGCTGGTGCCAGCACTTTCACCTGAGTCGAAAATGGCTGAACCACAGCCTTCACGCAGGGCAGCTCAGCCTCCGCAAAGACCACCTCGACCTTTCTCCCTCCCTACCAGTCCATGGCACCAGGGGCACACGCGGGCGATCGGTGGAAACCATGTACCAGCTGGTAGGTACCCGCTCGAGCACTCACACTCTAATCAAGGACTGCTTGTTTAAATTCGTATGTCGACCTTGGTAGGAATTACGGACCTATTGACAATGGTGGGACACCAGGAGAAGGCAATCAATGGTATTACGAGCTGACAAATATGCATACAATGGCAAACTTCTCAGGAAGGGGAAGGCATGGTGCATAATTTGTTGGGTGAGGATTCCCGAAATCACCTTATTAATAGGATATTGAAGATATAAGGTCTAAGTGCTTGGGGTTATTGCACGGCTTGCCAGGCTTGATGAGAAGGTGGATCTAACCCGCTGACCAATGGGATGGTGGAAGACCGTCGGCCTTGGCCCAATTGACCTGGATAATTCGAAAAATCCCAGGAGCAAGTTCAGAGGCTAGGGTCTTCCAAACCACTGTTGGCAGGCCATCAGGGGCCAGTGCTTTGGTGACTGGCAGGGCGTTCAGGCCTTGCTGGATATGTTCTTCGTCAAACGGGAGCTGGATTGGCGGACACCTGGGAGGCACATAGTCAGGGTCATGGAAAAGATCTTGGAAAAAACTCTTCAATTTGTTTAAACTCCTAACTAGGTGACAAAGATTAATATCATACATCTGGATCTTACGATATTATTACCTGGTACAAAGCTTACTGTCTGTACTAACCGATTGCATTATTTTGAAGTCTAAATGGTACATTATCTTGCAAAAATTGTTCGAGACGATGTTGTTTATTCTGGCGGTTGATCTATTTGATTTGACGATGCAATCTGGCATAGGTATAAATAAACTTCCAATTCTGAAAAAAAAAAAAAAATGTCCGGCATCGTCCTGGTGGTAATGGCTAGTATCACGTCTTGCCTGCCTCATGCGGCTGGAAATAGAAAATCTTGGGGGAGGGGATCGGGTGTGGTGCCCGTGGCCGCTTTGGGAAAGGTCCGGATGCACAGTGCACGAAGGTTTTTTCGAATGCACAACAATGATCAATTCGAGAAGGTATATATTGCTTCTTATCTTGAACAATGAATAAATGTGTTTCATGAACAAAACCAATCCATTGCGAAGTTCGATAAATATAGGTCTGTCGAAATTGAATCCGATTGATGGGATTAGGAGTTTGTCTATTGCGGGGCGGGGGGTACCACCGAGGAAGATAGAATCCTAGGGACCTATAGCGAGGTCCATTATTACCAAAATTCCGTTTAAAATGATTGTTGAGGTAAGGGATCATGGAATTACGACGAATCTGGGATAGTCGAACGAATATAAAATCAATCCGGATTATATGCGTATCATAGACGAAAATAACCTACCAATTTGGATTGATAATGCATAGTAATAATTAGTCCTGTTAAAATGCTGTCGAACATTTAAGATTCCCGATAACGATTTCTAAAGGGGACAATTAAAATCATCGACGAATATTAAGAAGTGCTAGGTTAGGACATATTTAATATAATTTTAAATCGTCTATCAAATCTATCGTCGACGAATATAAAGGGTTTAAATATCTTGCCTAATATTCGATGCATGCTAATAAATGGCAAAAAATAAATTATATGGATATTATAAATAAAATAAATTTATAAACAACGTCCTCGATTTAATATAATTTAGAATTTATATCATTAAATTTAAGCGAATCTCAAAAAGAACATAAAACCATAATATAATTATACCCAAGATATCTTTATATATAAAGATAAATTTATGTTTTTTTAAATATATACCATGGTATATTCGATAAACCTAATAATATTTATAAATTCAATTAACCTATTTTAATCGATCTTTATCGCGCACTTAAACGGCTAATACAAAAAACCATTTATTAACAAATTATAATTAAAATAACGGCAAATATCTCCAATATAACGAATTTCATAATTAATATATTCTTAGTTTATATACGAATATTATATAATTTAAAAACCATATAATTAAAAAATACAAATTATTTTTTTATTCGGAAAAAAATAAATTTCTAATTATTAATATTTATTAATAAATTAACCTTAATCATAATAATAATTAAAATATTCTTTTTATATATAATAAAAATATCCATAATCCACCTAAATCCATATTTCATAGAACTTCACGAAATAAAAATAAACAAAATTACATATATCACCCCCCATTCCACATTCCCTAAACAAAAAATCAATCCTTATTCCCAATACATACCAAATATAAATATTAGTATTAAATACCCGGATTTAAAACCGAAATTTACAATTAAATATCGTACAAATAAAAACGCATAACACACCACCAAAACTTAAGCGGAAAAACACGAAAGGTAAAGACGGACCAAATTTTTCTAATAAAAGATTGTTTCCGGTGTTTCAAAAACGTATCCCTATCCCTTAATTAATCATAAATAAATTCAACAAAGCCAAAAAACACAAGAAAATATAAAAAGGCTCAAAAAAAAAAAACCGTTACGGTCAAATTGCGCCACACGACTCTACAAAGAAATTATATTACGTCGAAATTCGTTTGTATTTTAATAAGTAAAAGCAAATACGCATAAAAATCGCAACGCATAAATACTTTTATATATATCAACTATAATCCCTACACGCACTATATCAAACTTACGCGCATTACGTCGAAATCGCAATAATTCAATATTCAATCCCCTTATAACGATCCTTATAAAAATAATACTAAAAAAATGCGACCGATACTACCAAAAATAAATGTTATATTAAATATGCGTTATATAAAATTACCGGGCGCGCGCACACAAACGATATCGAAGCCGCATTACACAAGGTTCGTATTATATATCTAACCTCATAATCAATATTATATTACAAAGATTAATAAATATATAACTTCACCTTATGTCGAGAATAATAATAATACAAACGACGAAAACAAAACGGAGAAAACAATTAAAAACAAGAAAAAAAAAGAAACGAATCAAATAATTTATCAACAATTCATTTCATAAAAAGAAAAAAAAAGAAGAATACAAATATTAAAATATTAATTTACCAATTTTAAATCCCGAACAAATTCTCAAATCAATCCCTTTGCTTCGCAAAACAAATTCAAAATAATCCTTACCAAGCTACCTTTCGTAATATACCACTCTCACAAACCGCAATTACGACTTCTCATATAATAAAAAAGAAAAATAACTACCCTAAATCTAAACTAAAAATAACGCTTTTTAAATATTATATATCAAATATATACATAAAAATAGAAATACAAACATACAAAATACATATATTTATTTATATATGTTCCTTTTTTTTACATATATTATTTCTATTCCCCAAATCTATTTTATTATATATATTATTCAAATATAATTACTATATAAATATATAAAATCTTTTCTATTTATAATATTCTAGAAATTATTAAATCTATATATTATCCATCCAAATGAAACATATTAATGGTTTTGGTGTAATATATTTAGTATTCGGATGGACGATCGTGTTGTTTTTCAATAGGTTCGATGAATTAATAAGGGTGAGAATGGGGTGTTTGCGGTTGTCATACAATGAAATCCATTGTATTCGCGTATTTCTTCTCAGGCTTCCGGCAAGTTGGTCCCCCACATCGAAAGTCCCTGTTTTTGTCAGCACGTAGTAAGTCGTGTGCCTGCAAGGCAAAGGCGGCAAAGATAGCGATGACCGCATTCACCGCTGGCCAGAGTGAACCCTCTCCAGACAGGTGTTGGTGTTCGGGTGGTGGTGCCGGTCAATGACCAAAATAGCCCGTGGGGTTGCCCTGGATCACTGACACTCAGCATGAGCAAGTTGTCGTTGGCACCCGACTTCTGGAAGTGGCTATGCGTCTCATGGGGGGTGGGGGTTCGTGGAATTGGGGACACCCTGGCCATCGATTTGGATGCTTGAGATGATCCAGACATTCGCAAGCCTTGAAGCCTTTACTGCCTGTTCATTTGACCAGTGCATCTACAGAGCGTGTGGTGTGAAACCAACCACATTGCTTCTCCCTAGCTTGCCCCATTTTAGAGAGAGAGAGAGCACCAGACGGTGCGGAGGACGATGTCCGCGCGGACCCGCTCCGCATATGTCCGTCTTTTAGGAAAAAACAATGGTTCTTTGTGAACGGCGAAGGCGAAGAGGCTTCTTTCAGCCTGAGTTGAATGCTGCAATATCTGAGGCTTTCCATGCTTATGTATAGGAACTCAATCCGGAGACGCAGAGAGGTTTGCAGGCATTGCATACTGCTGGGCAATTCGAAGGTGTCGACCGAGTGTAGCCAGACTTTCACCGTTAACTGGTGCTGTGCAATTGAACCAAGAGCTCTCCAGAGCTCGGTATGCTTAACAGCAAGGACGCTACTCGGTATGCTTTCAGAGAAAGGACAAATGAAATAGACTTGTTATTTAATTAACGTGTCCCGCATTCTGCTCGCACCCCTGCTCCCCACATGTTTCACGCAATGGGTCTGCACTTCAGTTCCCCGCCGAGTGGAGGTTGCCAGTCTGGTAGTTTCCACTCTGTGTAGAGAAAGACCAGCCACAGAAAGACCTGGTCCAAGAAAGCCAGTTGCGGTTGGTCATGTCCTGTTTGGCTGTGGTCGGTTTCTGCCTCACGGGCAAACTGCCTCGTTGAAGATTCCTCGAGGAGGAGGGGCACTGTGCGGCCTCGCGTGGTGAGCGCGAGCCATGGAAGGAATATCGAAATCTCGTTCAGGTGAAAGCTCCGAAGAGGGTTTCTGCAGCTATGTAGAACCCTGGACCTGATCAGTCTTCCTCAACAAAACCAACCCTTCTTTATACCCCTTCACCCCCCTTTTTCTCCCTGTGATTACCGATCCCTTCGTTCCTGGCCCACATTGGAGGATTCCAAATGCGCATCTTCCGGAATCTTCCTGGCAAAAGAAGTCGAAGAAGTGGAATCCGTCGACAGGTGCGTTTAGTTGCACCGATTTCCAGAAGTGCGTTGAGTTTGGTTGCAATCTGCTGCGTTTGGTCAAGTCCGTGATAAACTCTTCCAAGTGTCCAGGCTACAATGAATGAAGGGCAGTCCAGTGAGCGCTCGATCGTTAGGGTCTAGACTCAAAGAATGTCGATCGCATGTATGTGACTGTATGTGCTTTAATCAATGCATGCGCGTATTTCTCGTGACACCACACAAAAACTCGCTGGTGAGTACCACTGAGAGTGGCTCCAAGAACATCCGAACGTCAGCGGAGCTGGTTCCTCAGAATGTCAGCCAGGCAAATTGAAAATTCAAGTCATTCCGAACATGTTGGAGGCCATCGCTAGTAGGTGGAGGCCATCGCTAGTTACCGGTTGGAGGCCATCGCTCTTGGGTTGGAGGCCACCCCTAGTAGGTGGTCTTCCGAGCATTCCCAAGTATGTCTCGTCTGCACTGTCCGTGTTGGGACCGAGTTTCACGATCAAAACGGTCAGCTTCAAGCCATCCGGGTGACATATATAATACCCGGTGGTCCAAATCTGCCAAATCCAATTCCATCGGGGTCACAAGTTGGTATCTCCGAGGTGGTCTGTGTGCAGCAGTCGTTCTAGTTTGCACCATGAAGGCTCTAAAAATACTATCCCAGTGGATCCAGTTACCACTATAGCTGGTAACCAGTGGTTCCAAAGACCAAAATTATAGACCTAGAAGCCCAGGTTCCTTATATCGTGGTAACTGGATCCACTGGGTATCAACAAAAGCAGCTGAAGGTTGAAAGGCTCACACCACTTGCTGCGCATTCTGGTTGGTCTGCTAGTCACTAGTCTTGTCCGAAGTCGTGCGCACAACTTCTGCAGATAAAAACACGCCACCAAATCTTAGGTCTAGTAGCTTCTTGTTATTAGTAGTAAGGCCCTTGTTCCTAGTAGCGAGGCACTTGTTCCTAGTAGCTTCCTAAGAGTCTTGAAACCTGGATCATCAACTCTTATCGCAGAAGATTACAGAAAAGGACAAACAACTTTTACAATCTGACACCCAACTGCGTCCGTCCACAATATGCCACTTCCAGTATGGGCTAGGTGAAGCTTGATGAAGCGTGCCCCACGGAAAAGGCCAACAACTAAGAACTGGTGTTTGTAATCTATAATGTATTGCAGTATAGAGAAAGTAGAACAAAATAGTTTCTTACACATAATTGTGTAAACAATATATAATGTGTCTCAACCTCAACTTTGGTAAAATACTCGCTTCCATCTCAAAAAACATGATGAATCCCCGGTCAAACGAAAATGCAAACATAGTACCCCATCAGGAGTGAAACTGGTGCAGTGGGTTTCATGAGTACACGACAACTCGACCTGGTCACCTCAGGTCTAGGGATGAAGGTCCCATGTGAAGGACTGCTGTCCTGAGATTCTAATTGAAGGACTGGAACCAACAACTTGCATGGCGAGACCCAAATCTCACTTGATACAAAGTTTGGCGGCGAAGCAACCAACCTGCTCCTCTTCAATTCTAGATTCTAGAGCCCACGTTTGGAACCATGTTTAAGTTTGGAGGCCTCGTTAATATTGTAGTAACGAAACAGACACCTTCCTTCACCTGGGTGCAATCACCCCAACCTAGCCACTGCAGCGGGTTCGTGGTCTTCCACCCCCCAGAGGGGCAGGGGCCTGTTTGACGCCTGGTTGATCCCACAAATAAGGCTCAAAAGAATGCCAGGTCAAGCGTCAAGCTCAGAAGCTGTGATGATCCCTCATCTCAAGCCTTCAAAGCTCTCACACCAGACCTGGGGGAACATCTCTCAAACGGGACGGCTGTGGCCATGTAGGTAGTTTTAAAGGGAACCAATTGGTGGAAATGAATAGAGGAACCAGCTACGAACCTGTGGTCACTGTGGTCCATTGATGATGGCGCCAAACCCCTGCCATTCAAGCTATTTGCAAAGTCTTCCGGAATCTGGAGTCTTCATTTCAAGTGGTTCTAGTGACCTAGCAATTGGCTTCCACATTTTACCAAATAGTTGTCAAACGCTTCTCATTAAACAGGTCAAGGCGGTTCCAAAATGTATATCACTTCTGTCAGGCGCCCCCGATGACGGCCATGAAGGGGTGGATGGGTGATCGAGCTGTGAGATGAACACGGTTGCTCGAAATAAAAGTATTTGGTTGGTTTGACAAAGTGTTCCTCCACTCTCAGCTGAAGCTTCAAGACAGAATGTTGTCTTCATTGTTTGTGATGTTTATTCCTGTTAAAACCTTATTTAAAAGAATGACAAGAACAAACAGGGCTGGCTTTCACATTGAGGGAAGCCGGATGAAGGATGGATCACCCATGTCTCGGCCCTTCAGACCTCAAACCAGCTTCTGCGCCATCTTCGCTTCCGATTGAAGCTTAGGAAAGATCGGCTTCACCTGTCAGCTGGCTGAAGAAACCTGCCTTAAAGTGATGATATGATGCATGTACTGTCATATCTGTCCTTCCAAAACTGCGAGCATACGGAGTCTTTGGTGACCACATCTTTGGCTCTCTGAGAGACTCTAGGCACTCTAGGCAACAGCCTGGCATGCCTCTAACCTAAGAGCGATGGCCTCCAGCCTAGAGTGACTCTTTGCCAGCCAAGTCCACTTGGTCTAGGGGTAATGCGGAAACACACAACTTCCAACTCAAGACTCGTGCTGGCCAATCGCAAGCCAGTCCGAAGACTCTTTCGAGTAAAATCAGAAGAAGAGGCTCCCCCAATGACTGATGGCAAGTTCATAAACCTGAAAGAAATTACAAAAACTCAGTCAACTTTGAGAGTCATGAAATCAAACTGTGGTTCATGTTTGTCATCGGCACAGCGTTATATACTTGATATAGACCCCTCAGGTTGTCATTGGTGACATCAACTTGACAATACTCCTCTAGCCCTTTAAGGCTTGATCAAATGCCGTGATCCCCGCAAAACTCTGGATACTGTGTTGTTTCAAGCCCACTCAAAGACCCAACAAAAACAACAATCCTGAGGGGGCCAGGCTGTTGACGTTCCGCGATATGTTTTCGTCTCGCTCTTCTCACATCCTTGATGTATTTTGCAGAAACTCTCTCACAAGGCAACTTGGCACAAGCCTTGTCAATCTTCCTGTGATACATCTTACAGTAAAAACGTATGGCACATGTGGTGATATCACTGCACTTAACATTCACACAAGTTTTTTGCAAGAAAATTGGCCATCCCTATTAGGTTGGAAGCCATTCCAATTAGGTTGGAGGCCATCGCTATTGGGTTGCAGGCCATCGCTTTTAGGTTGGAGGACATCACTTTTAGCTTGGAGGCCATTCTAATTTGGTTGGAGGCCCTCGCTATTAGGTTTGAGGCCTTCACGCTTAGGTTGGAGGCCATCGCTCTTAGGGTTGAAGCCATCGCTCTTAGGTTGGAGGCCATCGCTATTAGGTTGGAGGCCATGGCTCTTAGGTCGGAGGCCATCGCTCTTAGGTCGGAGGCCATCGCTCT